AAATCGTTATTAATAGCTACCAGTGCCGAGTTACAGTCTTCTGTTTTAAAGTGTCGATAAAGCTGCAAGTCGTCTGCATAGAGGTGGAAGTTGGAAGATATAACTTTAGTAACCGAGTTAATGAAAATAGAAAATAAGAGAGGTGAGAGAACAGCACCCTGAGGAACACCCGCACCGAGGTCGCACCAATCAGAAGATTTATTACCAAGACGCACACGTTGCGTGCGTCCCCGAAGGTAGGAATCAAACCATGAGAGAACAGAAGGAGAGATATTGCAAGAACGAAGAATAGCGAGAAGAATGTCAAAATCGACAGAATTAAAAGCACTGCTGAAGTCTAGAAGAATTAGAACTGTAAGAGCTTTATTCTCCATAGCCCAACGAATATCATCAGTAATGTTTATTAAAGCTGTTACAGTACTGTGACCAGGGCGGAAACCAGATTGGTACCTATTCAAAAGGGAATTAGAAAAAAGAAAAGTTGATAATTGCTTATGAACAATATGCTCAAGAAGTTTAGAGAGAAGGGGAAGAATAGAAATAGGACGAAAATGAGATGGGACTGAAGGATTACATACTTTAGGCAGTGGAATAATGTACGCCATCTTCCAACTTTTGGGAAAAGAACCGGATTCAAGTGAGAAGTTAAGTATGTGAACAAGTATAGGAAGGAGAAAAGATAAAATAGGGGTAAACATTCTTACGCTTAGGTTGTCCTCGCCAGCAGCCTCGGAAGAAATGGCTTGAATGGTATTTTTAATGTCAGTTTCGGATATTTTTGAAAAGACAAAAGATGTGCAGTCTGGCCTCGGAACCAGTGAAAGTTCTGCGAGCGTAGAATCCTTTATGTCACCATCGATAGTAGAAGGAGGAAGGGAGAAGTGTCTGTTAAGGACGCTTAAATCTACATTGGTAGACACAGTAGCAGTAGATTTCCCCACTCCTACAGAGCGCAAAAACCGCCAGGCATCAGTAGGATTGCGATCAGTAAGAGAGCTATGGAAGAAGCGTCGCTTAGCATCCCTACACATACGACTGCAGCAATTTCGAAGAACCTTAAAACGAATAAGATTGCGGTTAGTTGGACGTTTCTTATATGCTCTTTTTGCCTTATCTCTTTTTTGACCACCAAAAAAATTGACCATCCATCCAATTGCCGGCCTTTGCAATCGTCGCTTAACCTCCTCAATCGCAGATCAAACGAGCTATCCGGCACCATCGAGCTTTTCATTTGTTTATATACGGATATTGCCGTATTTTTTTGTAAAATTCAATATATTTTGATGATATGGTAAGTATGAGCAAATGAATCGTTCCTCGATATTATTGAACAGAAAATCAAAAGCAGATCGAGCGTTCTACCACCTTCATACATTTGAAGTGATACCGCAGACCATGAGATTTGTGACCGATATTGACAGATAGTACAATCTCATGAGCAAACACTTGAGTTTTTCCATACATTTTATAAGTGCATGCGATTCGTGTGATATCGTTCATTCATATCGAATAACATCGCATCTAGCCATGAGAAAAGAACCTTAGGTTACTTTCCATTCGCATAAAGCCGCGGGCACAACTAGTTTAATATAATTCTAATTTACTACTTTTCCAAACAGGAAACAGTCCATGTTTCCTATGGATGACGAAAATATTTCGAAATCGTCGACGAAAAATATGGCACGAATATTTTTTAATTAATATTTATAATTTTATTGATATATTGTCATCGCTATTTATATTTATAGCCTATGATTTGGCTAAACTTGTTTCTTTTAATTTTTGTCCGATCTTAGCAGTCGTGTTTTTAATTTTTAAATAATTTTTATATTTTATTCATTTTAGTGAGCAGTTAATTTTGTATACAGATTATATATTTTTAATGGACCTTTAATTTGATACCCATAAAGTTATGATTATAAAAAAACATACTTTTTTAAATGGCGTCACACGTCCCCATACCTATTTAATATTAATAATTAAGCTAGTTTCACTGATACGCTATGTATTTTGTGGTAACTTAGGATGATGTTTCTAATGATACCCTGTACATTCATATCCGTTATATCTTTCAAAAGTTATGGTGCAATAAAAATACTCACATACATACATTAATTCTAAAAACAATAGACTCCTTTTCGAGAGCAGTCGTTTAAAATATTCGGGAATCGATAATGAATCTCACCATAGAAATACTAAAATAAATACAAAAATTGGGAAAAGTATCAAAATAGCTTGAACGTGGTTTCAACACAGTATTGTGGACTCGTGACCTTGAACAAGTTCTCGAGAACTCAAATCACAGAGTGAAAATTTGTCATATGGCTCTTAAATCGTCAGTAGTAGTAGTAGTTTCGTCAATGTTACAGGCGAAGGAATTAAGCCATACAGCCAATTTCAAATTGTCAGCATAATCTGTCAGAGTTAAAATATAGGTATAAAATATGCCCTAACAGCAGAAATCTGCCACAAACGGTCATACTGCTGACAAACAAACAATGATAGTAAGGGATTAGTATGTCGAATCGATTTAATCGAGAAAGACCATTTTATCCCGAACAAGATCAAACTCAAGGTCGTTACAAAACGTACAGATCGAAAATAGATTAATTATTTTATTCACTTGACGTTGACAGAATTGTGCTAAATGCACAGATAAGCCATTAACTAAAGAAGAAAATCTTTACTTTAAAAAGAATTTATATTTTTTCCCATTAACCTGGAAAACGACGGCTTATTAAGGCTATATGGATGGACTGTATAGATCTGAGGCATAAATAACAAAAGTAAAGTAGCTTATGAAACATTCTAGTGGCAACAGAATTAACTCGATGTACCAAATATGAAATTAACTGAGCGAAAGAGTTGACTCGATAACTCAAGTGCATAGAAACTCAATAAATATTTTATTACCTGTCACATGTTTCTTTTTAAAGGTCGCTTCCACCCACCATTAGTGACATTTGAAATTAATTTTTGCTTAAATAGAATAATATTTTGGCACCTTTTTATTTAGAGGCCAGGGGAGATTCGTAATTTTTAAATAATGATTTGAAGGTATTATCACTTAAAAACTTGAGTTAATTGTGAAGCTACTTTAAAAATAAATGCATTAAAATCAAAACTTTTATAGTACAAAACGTAGCAAACCATCATTGGATCCGAATTGCATTTGGGTAGTTATCACAGTACCATATTTATTTCTTCTTTATTTTAAGATTTAATTTTCTGATATGAAACAAGTAAAAAAATAGCTACATATCAAGATATATCACACCACTAGACGCGTTAGTAAGTTTTTTGGTCAAAATAGGTTAGTTGACAAGTTATCTTTTATTTTGTATATAAATAGTCCATTGATATTATTAATATCTGAGCAATAATGTAGAAGTAACAATATGTCTGCGATTAATAACAAAGTATTTAAAAAATAAAATTAGTTCTTGACATCATACTAGATGTCACTAGCGATGTTTGGATAGTGTCTATAATATTGATTTAAATTTTGTTTCTGACGTAATAAAAGTAAATTGAATATCGAAAATTAATAAATAAGACATCGTTTCGTGTTTATTATAATATCTAACAATCAAATTAATTTTAATTTATTTGAATCGTAAGTTTAAATTATTTATTACGTTACGTATAAAGGAACGATGTTTGATTTACATGTCAACATTAGTGATGAGCAAACTTATTGGTTTCCTTACTCCAATTGACTCGATTCATCCGAATTCAGGTTTGGAATCATGAACAAAAAGCGAAGCGCAGAATTCAGCTTGTTTTTTTTTATGTGCGTTATGTCCATATGTGCCGTTATGCATCCACACGACGAATTATATTAATATAAATATCAAAATCAATTCAGTCAAGGCTGTTACGTAGTATTTGTGAAAGTCGAAAACTTCGCCAACAGTTCGCAAAATTAAGGTGGGAGATTATCGTTTTAAAAACTTTTGTTAAATATTATAAAGAAATATTCCTAGACCTACTATGGCATAAGCATTATATTTATAAAAAGTTTTTCAAGGTAATATTATTGTATATTGTATTATTGTATACCGTAGCTAAATGCCACTTTTAATAATTTCACAGCATTATTTCTTTTGATTTCCATGACTTTTAAAAAACCTTCTCTATGCTCACTTCCATTATGTTAGTTTCCATTTTCCTTTATACAAACTTATTCAAAAACTTATTCAAAGATTAGTTCGTTTTAATCGAGTTGCAGTTGAGTAACTCGAACTAATGAGGAATTATTTAAAAAAAACGAAAGCACTTTTGAAGCACCTCCACTAGATGGCGACTCCAGCAAAAGTTGATTTTTGCTGGAAACGAATGAACCAAAGACAATAATTTCCGTTCCTTTTAACTAACATATTAAAAAACTGAAAAACATAGCTATCAATACAAATACGAAAAAATACAAATAGAATATGAGTTGAGATTCGGTGGTATGTTTGTGGAACTGCTGCATGTCTGCCGAAAATGCTCCCCACAAATTCAAGGCACTAAGTGGCATCAAACAATGCTACGGTAGCGAAAAACGCATGGGTGTCTGGGAAATCTTTGTAATATCTTTGTTATTTATACGTTTTTGTTTATAACTGTCGTAATAAAAGTTGGTATGTTTTGTGTAACATTTAATGCCATATGTATTTTAGCAAATTTTGGTAATATATTTAACCAACTTCAATCAAGTTGTCAAAGCGTAATATTTTCCGAATAAGCGTCGTAAAACTTATTTTATAAATACTTATACGAAAAAATGGTACCTATATATTTCCCGAATATATAACAGAAACCTGTATTTGCACTTGTAGGACACGAGCCTATTTTTAACTTGTGTATTATTAAAAGCTTGAGTTATAAAAATAGGGCTCGAGTTGCATCACTAATCAGAAAGTACCATACTTTGCTCTTTGCATTGTACTAAAAGTACTCTTCGTAGTAGTTTGTGGTGCTGTCAAAGTAAAACTGCTTGTCAAAGTGTCAACCACCAATATGTCGGTCAACGCTCAAGTCCATTTGAGTAACAATGAAAATAATTTAAAGAACGATAAATCAATGAAACCACTATTTCCAAAACGGGAAGAATGTTCACATGTATCTTGTTATTGGTATGTTTCATTATTTAAAATCTCCTTCATCTCGAAGTTGAAAAATGACAGTAATTTTAATGCTTTGTTTTGGGTATCTACGTAGTGAAGAAAATGTGTGGAAGTTATGCCAGGACGCTTCCATAAGAGTGCCGGAGGAATTGGATAGGTGCTATGTGGTTTTCATATCCAATCCTTGCCGTACAGTTCCATTGTGGAAACAAAGGGCTGGGCGCGAGGACGATCGCCTTGTCATATGGGTGTGTACCTAAACTGTGTCACGCTATACATACATACCTATTCCGCGATTCAATGTTTTTTGACACGAAAGGTCCTTTGTTTGCTATGACTTGCATTAACAGTATCCTAAAACCTAATTTAATTTTCAGGATTACCATGTGATATTTCTGTATTCATGGGATTTCAAAACATGTCTTGTGTATGATTTGGACTCGGAATTACCATTTCCAACATTTTTCCACAAATATGTAACAGAAACGTTTCGCACAGATCAAGTCCTAAAGTCAGACTTCCATAGGTAAATATAATATATGCCATGCTAATCATTCAGTAGTTTTCTATTGTTTTATGATAATAAAAAGTATTGTATCACTAAGAGTATACCTATAATGATAGGATTTATATATTAAACATATAATTTGAAATTCTTTCTGCCAAGGCTAAGTTATTATGCTCTTCAAAAAGTAATAAAATTTGTTTCTTAATGAGAATAATATTGAACTTTAAATTACTATTAAATAATGTTACAACAGCCACAAGCAAATATTTATAAAATTGTTGTTCTCTAAATAGTTAATGTAAGCTTTAGAACTAAAACTCAAAACTGTAGAAATCCAACTTCACAACACTGCTTGAATATTTGGTATGGTTAAACAGTACTTAGGTATTAATAAACTAGATATTTCCTATTTTTTAGATTATTGTTAACAGTGTAACAGTGTTAATCATTTTGCAGATTCTTTCGTGTAGTACCTGCTAAACAATTCTTGCAAAACTTTGCATCAGATCGTCGCCACATGAAGAGAACTGATGGATCATGGATCAAACCACCACCACCATATCCTGCAATTTGCACACCTCGTAAGTCACTTTTAATAAGTATAATAAATTATAAGTGACAATTCCTTTGGGTATAAGTAACATACTTATAGATTAGATTGTTCTATAATAAAATCTCTTTTTACTGCACAAAACTTTTCTATCAATAATAAAAAATAACATTAAATTTGCTATTTTCAGATTCAACTCACAATTTAGATGAATTCATTAATATGGATGTAGGTACAGGACTGGGACAGGTATTTAATTTAACAGATTTTGTTCATCGGTTCTACAAAATTAATAAGTAGTACAAACACAATGATCTTAGATAGACAAATTTTCATAACCTATGTTGGTTTATGGTTGTTTTGTTGATTATGTTTTAATAATCTTATGTTATTATTATGTTATTGTTATTGTATATTTTTACATACAATCCCATTTAATGGGCTGTTACAAATTCACAGTTAGTAATTTATTAACATATTAACTGATCAAACCATAGCTCTCTCAACTATTATTATTATTAACTTTCTTGCATATTACAAACAAAATAATTCCATTAACTTGTTTGACTGTAAATTTTGCTCACTACACATTAAATTAATTAATTTATGGTCCTTAAGATTCCGTAGTGCAATTTATTAATCTCTTTCTATCCACATTATATGCAAGGAGATGTATGCAGCACAAAAATTTATACAATACTTCACTTATTTTGTTAATAACATTTCTGTGTAAGCAATTATTTATGATGATTATAAACCTTATATGGAAATGTTAATTAATATGAATTTCTCACTTCTCATTTCAAATATTCAATATGACATTAGTGATAAATAAATAATACATAACGATAACATTATATTCCCTTCAACAATTAGAGATTGCCATTAATAGATAGGTTAATTGGAAGAGTAGCTAATATGAAAGCTAGTTAGTGCTTAAATTTCAATTTAAAGAGTTTTTAAAGTGTGTCCGTGATTTGAATGTTATTAATTTTGTCAATGATGTTGTTTGTTGTTGTAATAGAATATATTTTATTCTCGTTTTGACTGAAATGATTCTTGTTTACGAAGTGTATGTTACTCTGAGTGATATATTAAAAGTTTAAGTAACTTTATTGTAGAGTATATGGTCGCAAAGTAGCTTTTGTATATTGTTAAATCTATTCTATCATTTTATATCAACTTTTATACGCTCTTTTTAACCTTCCCTAGCACCTTTGATAGTATATAAGGTTTAAGTATTATAAAATGTATAATTCAATATGATTAAGCAATTCAATCTCTGTCCATACATTACTGAATATTTTGAATTAGTGCAGTACCTATTTTTTTTAAACCAATATCTCTTTAAACAAGTGTGCTTAAATTGCATACAATAAAATTTCAATAACGTATTCTAATGGACAATTTTAAAGCTTCAATAACGTCATAATTTATATATTAAAATTAATATTAATTGTTGTCAATAAAGGTCCTAACGCATTTGCGGTGAGTGCTTAACGGGATAAATTCGAAAGAAGTTGCATGAAACATGTTTTACGAAAGTAGTTACACATGTGCTAAAATGAGTAAAACCATTTTCGTGATGGCATGTTAAGACTTAACAGCTGGATCGAAGTAATTAGGAAAAAAAAATGATTTATCAGATTTCTAAATTAGAAAATTTTCTAATCTGAATAATCAAATTTTTTCCTCATTACTTCGATCCAACTATTAAGTCGAATACGTCATTAACAGATATGTGTAAGTGAATTCGTTTTGAAAATTATTTTTCAAAAAAAAACCAAAGTTTTTCTGCTCTGCCCTGCGATGCTGTAAAAATTCAAACCCGAATTCGAATTCACTCAGATGTCTGAATTCACTTCAAAAAGCGGCGTCCGCTCAACCTTGAATTGATAATTTAACATTTCATGGCTTAAGTGAAGTGAGTTTCGAAATGACATAGGAATAAAATATCTGAGACATGTATATTCAGTCAATTATATACAAAAAACGGAATCCATAGAATTTCTACACTAAATAACGTGAATTCGGACACATGAGTGAATTCGAATTCGGGTCTGGATTTATTACAGAATCGCAGGGCAGATCAACTATTTTGGTTTTGCGAGTTACTACGTGTTTGCTTACCAGCGTCGATATGTAGATCTGGCTTAATTCTTCATCGAATGTATTTATTTCGTGGATAAATAATAAAAATCAAATACGAAATCGTATATTTAGCTGCAACAGCTGTGGTTACGTCTAGCACAGTAAAAATGCGTTTGGACCGCGAAAATTTGTTACGACATGTTAAACCTAAGCATATTGCTATAACATTTAACTCTTTATGAAATTTACATATTTTCGCCATTGTCACGTTTGAACATTTTTTGTAGAAAATGCTCGTCATAAGTGACATGTGGATTAATCCTTCCTTTACCGCGGTCATAAATCGGCGCCTGAGCACCATACCGTTATCGGTAATCTGACACCGGCACTTGAGCCTTTAAATAGTAATAAAGGTTTTTCTAGACCTCTGACCGCGCGCTTGTATACAAGCGCATGTTAAACGATGCACTTTTTTTAGCGCTTGCATTCAAGCGCGTGGGAGACGAAGAGTGAGAGTTTATACCAGAGTTAAGGGATTTCCCATTTATTTATTTACTTACAAGGGATTGTTAACACAGTGTCAGTAACAGAGTTAGTGCCAACTTGACCGACTAGCATAAAAACTAGGTACTTCGAAACAGTTGTAGTATTGAATCAATTTATACATGACATGCATTTCTGATCTAATTAAATTTAATTTCGAATATTAGTAACAAGTCATCGGCTAGTTTTTGCGCTTCGAATTTCAGATTTACAAGAAAATCTTGTAAAGGAACGCTAGTTAAAACTTCCCAATGTATGTTCACCGCGGCATTGGCGCCCAAAAACTGACTTACTGACCCTGTGTAAAAAATCTCTTACAAATGTCAATACATAAAACGAACTTTTGTTATATCCCTTTGGATGTTTAGATTAAAAAGTATTATAGCTTAAGCGAAGACAGCACCTCTAACCAAATTGTTACGACTTTAACACTCGTTTCCACTTATCTGGAATCAGGAAACCCGTAATATTATGAATCACCTAAGAAGATTTTCAAATAAATATTGTATTATTTTATCCCTTGACATAATTTATGAACTGTCATATACGCAAATGCCTACCGTAAGGCGCTGTATAACGAATATCATAACTTTAGACATTTCTTAATTTTGTAAGGTGGTTCCTAGTTACTGGTGGAATGCATTTTTACCTCAAGCGATTCCAAAATATTTAGGAGACAGATTTGGGCGACTCCTAAATTTAGTGAAAACGGGCATAAGTATTTTATACCATAAGCAAATTAATTTTTACAATTTTGTACCATTATCTAGTCAATTTGTTAGTATTTTATTGTCAGCTTATTTCATGCATTGTATATACAATATCTCAATTATATATTATGATTAAATGTTTATTACTACATAAAAATTCTATAGTTATTGAAAAATGTATTACTTAATTATATCTCTTAATGCTTAAGCAATAAGAGCTAAGCCAAACCTTTATGCAATGGATTCAAATTATTTAATGCAATTTTTTCCGATCCGATTAGGACGTTTGACAATTGTACTACGGTACGAAGCTCGCATTTTTTGTATCTATTGCATTTTACAGATCTATCTATCTAGTCATAATTTTCATCTATCTAAAATCTTAAATTAAGTTTAAGTATAATCACAACTTAAAGCACCTTGCCAGAGGCGTAGCTGGAGTATTTATGGGACCAAATGAATCCAAATGAATGTGGTGGAACCCAATGTGTTTTCCTAATACCGGGGGTCTCTTTAAGTGTCCTACTGGTTACGCCTTCGTCCTTTTATATGATATCCACATTTCTCTACGCCTTTTAACTTTTACTATTGACTGAAAAATACGAGTGATAATATAATTGTGCTTGTGCTTCTAAATGTATCAAGTTACATGTTTTTATTTAAGCTAAAAAATAAAACACCACACGCTAAATAACTTTGTTTTATTTCAATAATAACAATAAATAATAATACAAAAAACATACTTTTTTATTAATAGCTTATCTGCGCATTTCGCACAATTCTGATAATGTCAAGTTAATAAATTAATCACTACGTGTAAAATGAAAAATCGAACAAAAAACCTATACGGTTATTCTTTATAAATTAAACATGCCAAAGGTAATTGACACTTTTTATTGCTGTCCTGTAGTGGCCGTCGGCTAGGAAATATAATTAGTAAATAGGGCTCTGTTTTGCACGAATTTTGATTATTGACTAACTAGCCTAGACGTCGTGTATTGACTATAATCTGTATGTATGTAGTTTAAATTAAATTACATTAAAAGTATTGCCTTCGGCTACAAGGTTCAAGTTTGATGTTGGCATGTGCATGCTTCACTTTCTGCTTAGAATACTTTGGCCATTTCTCCAAATAGCTAATTTGTTTATATTAACTGCAGTCTCGAGTAAACTATCCATCAAAATTCTCACTGATTTATTGGGTGAGTATTTCAGCTCCATCTTCAGTCACTAGTATTGTATATTCTGATTGAGCTGCTCTAGAACCATCTTCAGTAATCACAGTCCAGCCATCTTCTAACAAGATAGTATTTACAGAACCATGGGACAAAACAGGTTCTATAGTAAAAGTCATACCAGGTTTCATCAAACCTGGATATCGATTTTCTATAAAATGATAAATATTATTAAGCATCTTACACATAGATGTTAAATTTATCAGAACCAGTATGCTTAAAACTTTCTAAATGTTGCTCACTTGAATGATATATTTCAGGTGGACCATGAAAATATTCTCCTATACCATGCCCTACAAAAGCAGGCAGGACTGAAAGACCATTTCTTCGAGCATGACCATATATCTTTCTGCCTAGTTCACAAAAAGGCACGTTTGGACCGCAGGTTCTTGTGGCCTGAACGAGAAAATAATTTCATCAAGAAGAAAATAAATTTAAATACTTAAACATCAACATAAATCCCTAGACTACTATCCCATCTAGAAATTTGAAAATGTGCATACGATTCATGTAAGTAGCAACAAATATGTATAGCGGCGTGGCTCATTTACCAGTTTCGCTAGGTCAATGGAGAATATTAACTTCCTATATTGTCTCAAGTATAGATTTTGTGTTATATTTGTATTGTTAAAGATTTCCATCACACAAACTAGCGCTTATCTTGGAACTTGAGTAAGGCATGTGATATCTATTACGTATTTAAAATTTGAAATGGTGTAAAAACATGCGTTTAAAATTTTGATTTCTATAGCAGAAAAGGTACTTTTAAATCAGAGGCATGCGTCTACTATGTATGTATACTCAAACGACAATAACGAATTTTACTTTTAAAAAACTCACTATTTCAAGGCACTCTTCTGTTACTTGAATGAGCTGTAAGCCTCTATCATCCACATCCCCAACGGGAAATGTTTTAGAACAATCGCCATGGAATCCTTTATAAAATACCTGTTCAAACATTTTAAATGCAATTATGGAGATTGTTTTTGTGTATTTACCAATTATTTACAATAAATACTTACTGTAATGTCCACATTAACTATATCTCCATTTTCTAACGGTCTTAGATCTGGTATGCCATGTACAACTACATTATTAACAGAAGTACAAACACTTTTTGGAAATCCTTTATATTGCAACGGAGAGGGATAAGCTTCTGCTTTTATACATAAATTATGCACAAATTCATCAATCTCATCAGTTGTCGTCCCAGGCTAAAAATAATTAAATACTAACTTAATGGAGAACATCAAAAGTTGTATCCATACTGCATTTTTATAATTATAATGGAGCCGTTTAAGTATTACGTAACAAGTCCTGGAAACATTACGATGCGTGACATGGGGAGGAGGGAGGGTCAAAAATTGCGTTATATAATACTTGAACAGTCCCTAATGTCTGTATGCTATATATTATAACCGTATGTTCAAACATTTAAGATTATAAAATCAATTTGGAATAAAAAATTGTGACATCACAATGTTTAAAGAGAGCAGAATTCTATTTATAAGACACTTTTGCCAGTAACTTCGTCCATCTGGTATATTTTCTTTGGGCATTAATTTAAATAACGCTAAAGCAAATATATCTTATAGCTTAAATATAAAGATTCATGGCTCCAAAAAAGAACTGAGAACTCGATCTGCAGACCAAACTCACGATTACTCTCTATGGATTATTCTTTTGAGCCTAAACCGGCAGCTAAGAGAACCTAATGAAAAGACCGATCATATGCAGATTTTAGAGTAATATGTTAACACCTGACGAATCTACAAATAATCAACATGATATTGACCAGGTTCAAAAGAGTTATTAACAAATGTCTTTCACAAAAAGATCGAGGTCTACTTGAGAAATCCAAACACAAATTCGAACTAAAAAAAGGTACCAGGTCATGATCTGTGCAGAACTTTCTAAGAAAGGGAATTATTTTTAACACTACTGTTTAAAGCTATTCTAAGATTGCAATATTTTGCCAATAAATGGAAGTTACTAACTATAAACATGGCAGCTAAGCTAGGAAAGGCGGCTAATGAAGTTTCGTCTTATCAACTACATTGTCGAAGCAGTTAGAGAAACTAGTATTAAAACTAACGGCGCCAATCTTCATCGAAGAGAAAATAATAAACGACCACCAGTTTGGACTTTAAACCAGCCACTTAACCGCCGAGCGGATACACAGGGTTGTCCATAAAATCCGACACTCATAGGAGAAAAAGGAATACTACCTCAGTTATTCTTCAACTATCTACATCAGGCATTTGACAGATTTAGCCACAAGGGTCTATTATATAAATTATAAACTAAACTAACTCATTTTAAAAATTATTGGAATTCTACAAAAGTGATACATTGATATATAAGCATGTAAAGAAATTCATGCTGACATACTTCAAGGTTCTGTTTTTGGCCCGGTGTTTATAGGCGTAGCTAGGGGGGAGAAGATTCAGGAACAGATACCTCAACATAATTTAATACTGGCTAGAAAAGTTGGACAATTAAAGTGTAAGTGAAGTTGGAGCATCAAAATACTACATCATCAAACTACTTTTACACTATGAACTGGCAACTGTCCACCAGTGAATCAACACAGCATCAAAAAAGTTTGAAATATCTAGGGATGCATTTAGATCACAAGCTGATTTGGACTCGAATATAATCAAAGAGAGATCATGTGCACTTAAAAATTAAGAGAAATGAGAAGCCACATCATTGAATATGCACCTTTCAAAATTCTGATACACAATAAATTTGTTAAAAGCTGTTTGGTTACTCCTAATACAACCTTCATTCTTGATTTCAACTCTTTCAACCCCTTTTTGTAAGCTTGTAAAAATTAACCTAGATTCTTTCCCAGTCTATCTCTGTACCATTAAATTGCTAATAACCAGATACTAACAATACATTTTAACCAATTTTATTTTAGTAACCCACAATCAACCAATTTGATGAACATGTAGATCTTAAGTCTATATAGAAACTACTGTTTACAATATTAAAGTAATCATATTACAATTTTGATTTAAATCATAATTTAAAATATGTGAGCACTGAGATGGAAACATATTTTTAAATGAATTGTACTTTACTGTCACTTAAATACATATTAAATATTGAAATAGTATTTTCAGTCTATGAAGCTTAACATCATTAATATCTCAGTTTGCTATTTAGTGTATTCGTTTCAGAAGCATTATTTGTTCCTACAAACCTTGATAACACTTTGCACACTCCTTAGGATCCCATAAGCTAATGTGCAGCTTCGACGCATGCCTTCTAACTTTTTGGCATCTTTAATTTCTGGCTTCTTTGGAAGTGTTGGTAATTGTTCAGAAATATAGTTTGGAGAGGCAATATGTCCTGGAACTGTTCTGCTAGGTGTAGTGTTACCAGGAAATACTAATTCATAAACACCAAATCGGTTTCTTGAAAGAGATGGGTTATATATAAATGGAAATGTATTCATATTTTATATTATTTATTAAAACAAAAAGCCAATTAAATTATGAAAAATAAATTTGGACTTACAGTAATCGGTTTTGGATTCGTGGATTCAGGGCTTTCGGGGTACGCATCACGCATGCTAAATAATAGTGACACTAAAGTCTAAGCATGCCCTGAGGAAAAACTAATGACAAAAATCAATCTTAAACTATATATAACCTAAGCAAGATAGTTAGCTTTTACTTAAAAGAATGAGGAAGTTAAATTATTAACTGGGTATCAAAATATAAGTAGACCAAAAAGAACGAAGCGATTAAGTCGGCTTACACGTGATTTCTCCACAAACTACCAAGGTGTTTAAATAGAGTCATATCTAAAAATAATTAATTAAATTAAAAAGAATATCATAAACTTTTTAGCTCATACAAATAAAGTAGTTAAAAATTCGAATTCCAAAAGGTAAAGTAGTAGTAGTACCATAGTAGTACTTTCGTCCATTGGACAGGCGAAGGAACTAAGCCATACAGTCAAATCTTGGGGTCTTTAAAAGGCAAATACAACCAAAACAAAACAATACAAGAACAGCAATATATTATACTAATTATACTACATTTTTGAAACTAGGACCGACTAGATATTATAGACGATAACTCAAGTTCTGTTTTTACTCGAGTCACTCGAGTGAATTTTTCAAAATTGTACTTTAGTGAAACAAAATATCACTAGAGTCTCACTCAATGCGCTCGAGTTATCGAGTCAACTCGGTGCATCGAGCTAACAGATATCATTTGCCACACACTTGCCACTTGCCACATTTTACAAAGTCGTTATATCGACATCTTAACGATATTTTTAGGTCGTAAATCCAAAAGATCTTGTTTGCAAAAACTGCCAATAGTTCGGGCAGCTACCTACTAAATTTAAGAACAACGGCTTGAGTGCTTACTCCTATGATGCCTGTTAGAAGAGAGGTACGCTCCGGCTAAGTAAATTGGGAGTATGGATTTATATGAAATTAAGTACTATTAACAACACAACTTTATCTGGTTTAATAGGTCAAGACGTGTGCTGAAGATAGGTGCTCCATTAAGACTGTTGGCAAAGTGAATATATGCTTCACTGGATAACAATCCGGGTTCGTCCTGGCATTCAAGGCGTAGTAAATCACCACAAAAACGCCAAGTGTCGATATATAGAAATCATTACTCAAGTATCCTTTCAATTAGTTGTCTTGTTGTTTTTCAATATCGATAGTAAATCACTTTATGTTATAGTGTAATATGTCTAATTAAAATGGCTTTTATACGTTTATTACGCACTCTAGATGTCTGCTACGGTTGAGCGTGATTGGTTATAGTTATATTGGAGCGTTCTCATTGGCATTTTTAAAATGCAAGTGTATGCATATCTTTTATATAATGAGGAAATATTAAAAAAAATAGTTTGCGGAATCAAACTAGATATCATTTCTGTACCTTCTTGCTTTCCCCATAAAAAACCTTTCCGGTTTTCTGTCATGTCTAAAAGTAAATTCGTTTTCAAAACTCAATAAACAACTCATATTCTATTTGTACTTTTTCATATTTGAATTGTATCCAAGTTTCGAACTTTGCAAATTTCAGTTTTTTAATGTGTTAGTTAAAAGGAACGGAAATTATTATCTTCGGTCCAATTTTTTCCTGCAAAAATCAACATTTGCTAAAGTCGCCATCTAGTGGAGGTGCTTTTTTGGTGCTTTCTTTTTATTTTTAAATACTTCCTCATTGGTCTAATATTTTATCTGATGTATGGCGGACAAAAAGTGGGGCAAGATTGGTGATATCGGTTTTCATACAAAGTTGAACCGCCTTTCTAACCTCTTTTCTGTGTTCTGTGCGTGTGCTTTACTCCATTGAGATTAGAGATGCGTTGAATAGTAGTAATTCGATATTCGGTTAGTTGGTGAAACTAACCGTTATTAACTAATCATTTAATTAATAACAGTAACGGTTCAAGGCGCCCAATTTCAATAGCATTGTCTTGAATAAGTCGCTTTTGAGATAAGTTTTATTTATTAACCCTTTTCATAGTTTGAAGTGTATTTCTTTGAAAAAAAAAATCTCATAGTTTTTAGTGATATTGTAATTTTTTGTGTAATAGAAAAGGAGATTTTATTTATTTGCTCTACATAGTTTTTTCAATAAACTAAAGGTACTCATATTATAAAAAGAAAAGATTTTGTTTTCAAAATTATTTTACCTACTTTATTATATTTTATTTTGTTAATAAGGAAACACATTTTTCTCACGATTTCTTTGACTGATATTGTAACAAATTTACCAAAAGAATTTTTATCTTTTAGTTCTATACGGTGTCATGTAGCCAAGAAAATGGAATACTTGGACCGGATGTATTCGGCACAAAACCCGAATTATTTCGGCGAATACAAATAGTGAAAAAGATGCCGAATAAATAGAATACCGAATCCCAAACGAATATTCGGCGCATCTCTAATTGAGACCTTTACTCTTTGCTTTGTTTACTTGTACTTGCCTTACGGCTGAAGGCCATGGAAGAAGGTGCCGGTAAAACCTTTAAAAAAAAAAATTGTACTTGCCATAGATTTATTAATTATTTATCTCAGGTACTTGCTATTGCTTGTTGGTTGTGTCAAGTTTGTGGTTTTACTGTTTGCACGGTTCCCAACTTAGGGGTTTTCCCCCCAAATTTAGGGGGTAAATGAGTGGGATGGGATTTTTTTGGGGGTTTTATATGTTTAGGGGTATTTTTAGGGGTTTTCTGAATACATAATATTCTGTAATTCTGAATCTAACAGAACTATTAAATCCAATAATAGTCATTCAAATATTTTTTTTACCCATTGAATGACTTCGAACTGGATAACATCTAATGTAATTAGAATGGTGGATCATGCTCTACATTTAATCCATCTTCAAAAATGTTAAGTTTATGTAATGTGAATATATATGATTTTAAAAATGCGGTTCTTCAGAAGATATTGATATAAAATATAACTATACCGTTTTAGATAATATATTAATAAAGAAATATTACTACATATTACTTTTATTTTATATATTATTTTTATTAAATATATTTTTAGGGGAATTTTCAAATAATTGAGTCATTTTTAGGGGGTTTTGACTTAGATTTAGGGATAAATATTTTTGAGAGTTGGTAACACTGACTGTTTGTGTATTTGTGTTTGTATGGGGTTTTGTTGAGATTTAATGTTTATAAAGCATTTATTTCACTAATTCTCTGAAAAGCAAAAGATACCCGACAAACTTCCAAAATGTCTCAAAGTATGTAAAAAATAAAAAATAAATCTCATAGTTTTTTTAATTAAAAAACCGGTTAATAATTGTAAATGATATTTGCAGATTCTGAAAAACCAACAAATCAAGATGTTACAGACCCGACAGGACCAGCAGCACGTAAAGGTGTACTCATATCCTTGAGAACAGGGAAAACAATGGAAATCCCTGAAAAAGACATAGTAAGTAAACATAACCTTAAAACAAATATCAATATGCTAAGAGAATTTAAACACTATGTTTTGGTATCCTAAAAGACTATAAGTTCTTCTATACTATGAAAACAACGTAAATACCTAAACGATGACTGGTTTTTCAGCTTGGCAGATGTAGATTTGTTGGTGAATTTGAGAAACTTAATCGTATTGGTGAAGGAACCTATGGTATTGTTTGTAAGTTGCATTTTTATTTTATATCTTGGTCGATGTAGTTTTTTTGGCATACAGACTATTAATCTCAATATAGACAAATGTCTTTTTATGTTGATTTTATTCTTTACTTATCCTTTAGGAAAATTTTTTTGGTACTTATCATATGTAGGGATCAAAATAATTCTTTAAGGTACCATTTAAGAAATGAGTACTAGAAATAAAAGCAATCACCAAAAATTATTCCATACATTTTGTACAGAAAAAACAATCATCATCTCAAATTATTCTTTAGTGGCAAAAAATATTTCTTTTGAATTAAGGAATCTTATAGTGCCATTTCTAAAGTCCTGAATATTATATACTCTTATGAATTCCCCTACCACCGGAATTTTTAATAGCCGGTTGGATGACGTAGCCAGCCGACCTTTCACTTTGTTTCGAGCGCTCGGACGGGACGGACGTGTTTAGTGCAGTGTGTTGCTAAATCGTTTCTTATTATAGAACTTACAATTTGATTATATTCTTTTGAATGTGAAAATTAAATCGGTTGTTAGAATTATTTAGCTTTTGTTTTTTTAAAAATCACTCGCTTTTCAAATTCTTAAGATCAGAAGTGGGATTCGACACGCTTTTTGATTGCTCGCCATCATAGTGTAACGTTAAGCTTAATTACTGTTAAAAACAACCTCACGTAATTGTTGGTGTTATATAACGTAAAGCGTAATCGGCGTTTGTTTTTTTTTTTTTATAAAAAAAGGGGGTATCCTACCCGCGCGCGTTTTCATTTCGTATTTTTGTGAAAAAGTGATTTTATAGTTTACAGTCATGTCGGACCGTCGATCAGTTTCAACGAGTTGCATAACTCCACCTATAAGACGAAGTAAAAGACGTAGTTCTCGTGAGCATAACCGTGACACGCGTTACTGGAGTAGCGATCGTTCTAAACGTCGGGACGACACTCGTGAGTCACGAGCTAGATCGTCTAGACATCGCAATAGGTCTCCTAACTTTGACACGGCTCATAGACATCGCGATAATTCTCGTAGCTACCGCGGAAGTCGTCATAGTGACTCGTTCAATATTGTACTGCAAAGACTGAATGCGATTGAGAAACGACTGCCTGCAACCGAGGTGTCTACCTCAACTCCGTTACCCCGTCCTAGCGTTGGAATCTGCACACCCGTATCGGCTCCCGAGGGCACCGGGGCGCCTGCAACCACGGAGACCTCTGGGATTGTCAATACGTCGTGTGATGACGCCGGGGGGACAGCGGACGGGATTGTTGGCGCACTCTCTACATTATTTAAAGTAAGATCTAAGCATTACTATATATCGAACTTTGATCCGACTATACATGACTTTGACGTGTGGTGCGCGGAGGTGGATCGCGGGCGCGATTTAAATAATTGGGACGACCGCGAATGTCTTGGACGCATTGGTAGTTGCTTGAAAGGTGATGCCAGTTCGTGGTTAAGCGACTGGGTTACCAACGATCGAACCTGGACTAATTTTAAAACAGAGTTTCGAGCACTGTGTCCACGTGAGGTCGATATGGCTACTATCTTGTTTGAAGTAATGAATACAAGTTCAAATAAATTTAGTACATACGCGGAATATGCGCGAAAGTCCCTTATGCGTTTAAATATTGTTAAGGGACTTTCTGAAGAGTTAAAAACCGCTATCGTAATCCGCGGAATTTCTGACATTCAAATAAAAGCCGCTGCCACCAACGCTAAGCTACACTCAAGGGACCTTGTCGAATTTTTGTCTGTGTATATAAAACCTAAAAGTGCACCTATCGTGACCAAGAATCCTGGCCGTTTTCCAGACGTCGGTATACCCAATTTGCGTAAACGCGAACCCTCTAGATATGACCGTTTGATTTGTTTTACCTGTGGCAACATAGGACATAAGCAAGTACATTGCCCTAAGAAATCTAAGTTGGAGTCATGTACCGCGAGCTCACAAATACTGAACTAGAATACCTAGGACGATTAATTGGACATGGTCAGGTACGACCGAGCCCAAGTAAGACCGAAGCTTTAGTCAGGTCTCCAAAACCAAGGAATGTTAGAGAGGTACGCCAATTCTTAGGCCTGGCAGGTTACGTGTAGAGGTACAAAATAAGGGTGTTTCGTGGTCTGATGTGTTGTGGCGGGTGCAGTTGAACTTGAACATAGCCAAGCAGGCAACCACACGTTCTTCGCCCTTACAGCTACTTACTGGAATAGAAGGAACCACTCCAGTTATTAGGCCCTTAGTGCGAGACGTCGCGTTGGACAACTCTCACCCGAATCGTGAGGCGCTGCTTGTGTTGAAAAGGCAGAGAGCAGCCGAACTTCTCAGCTCAAATCAACAGCAGCAAGACGCCTATGTCAACGAAGGTCGTCGGCAGCCCCGTACTTTTGCTCCTGGTACTTTTGCCTTTATTAACAAGGGTGCGCAGAGTACTGGGAAACTGGACTCCGGGACGCGCGGCTCCTACAGGATTGTACGAGCCTTACCCCATCAACGCTTCGAGCTCGACCTTCTCGCGGGGTCATACGGAAAGAAGACTCAGACCGCCGCGGAACACATGGTTCAGTGGCGAGGCGAGTGGACCCCGGACGCATGTGAAGCCTTTTTCGAAAGTGATGAGTCTTGTAAGCCTCGACAATATGGCTATGTTTTTGCTCAGCCTCGACATTATGGCTATGTTTTTGCTCAGCCTCGACATTATGGCTATGTTTTTGCTCAGCCTCGACATTATGGCTATGTTTTTGCTCAGCCTCGACATTATGGCTATGTTTTTGCTCAGCCTCGACATTATGGCTATGTTTTTGCTCAGCCCTGACATTGTGGCTATGTTTTCCATGCCCCGACCCTGTGGCTATATTTACGTTGCCCCGACATTGTGGCCTTACTAACTTTGCCCCGACATTGTGGCCTTACTAACTTTGCCTCGACATAATGGCAACCAGATGGTCTCGAAATTTGATTACGTAGCATTACTCCGAACGAAGTATATGGGTGTTGCTTTCACAGTGACCTCGATAGTGGTTATGTGATAGCGACGACACCTGGATCATACTAGTAATCGGCTTTAATGACTTATAGTGAGAACAGCTGTTGTCACTAATGAATAAGGTCCAAAATTACGTCATTACTGATAAATTCGTCTACAGTTGGTTGTCTTAGCCTGATCATGGGAGTGCACGCCTGTGGTCTTGTTGGGATGGGTAACTGGAGCCATTTGTTGTTAAAATGAACAAAGAAGCTCAATCGGTGATTGATTTCAGAAAACCATTAACCCGAAGAGTAACCGATTGAGATTGGTTTGAGTACTGAGGCCCCGCCAAGACAAGAAGGCCGTGAAGGCCAAGCTGACGAGGACGTACAGCCGTCAGGAGAGGCCGTCTTATGAATTCCCCTACCACCGGAATTTTTAATAGCCGGTTGGATGACGTAGCCAGCCGACCTTTCACTTTGTTTCGAGCGCTCGGACGGGACGGACGTGTTTAGTGCAGTGTGTTGCTAAATCGTTTCTTATTATAGAACTTACAATTTGATTATATTCTTTTGAATGTGAAAATTAAATCGGTTGTTAGAATTATTTAGCTTTTGTTTTTTTAAAAATCACTCGCTTTTCAAATTCTTAAGAATACTTTATTTTCAACAGATAGAGCAAAAGACAAATTAAATGGCAACATAGTTGCACTGAAAAAAGTCAGAATGGATGTAGAGAAAGATGGATTGCCTTTGAGTGGTCTTCGTGAGATACAAGTTTTGATGGCTTGCCGACATGAAAACATTGTTCAGTTAAAAGAAGTACTTGTGGGTCGTTCACTAGAAAGGTATTGAATTTTCTTTATGGTAAATATTTTCATAAGTAATTTGCACAAACATCCATTAAAATTGTCACTACTTTAATATTATATTACCATTACAAATTATTAAATGTTAGAACATTAGTTAGAGCTTAAAGTTTTTATTAAATCTTAATGGATGTTTATGTAACTGGGTGTCAGTAAGAAAAGAGGTCTAAAACAGTTTTAGTTGAATAAATATGTGCTTTTCATGTAATTGTATCACAATATAGTTATTATTATTAAATTACATTTCCATATAAGCAAGAATTAGTTACTTTAATATTTGATTTATTGATTATTTTTAATTTCAGTATTTTCCTATCAATGGAATATTGTGAACAAGACCTGGCATCTTTGCTTGACAACATGTCATCACCTTTCACCGAGTCTCAAGTTAAATGCCTGATGTTGCAAGTACTAAAAGGGTTGAAGTATCTACACTCCAATTTTATTGTACACAGAGATTTGAAGGTTTCAAATCTCCTGTTGACTGATAAAGGATGTGTTAAAATAGGTAAAATTTTAATTAGGAGTATTTCTGAATGTAGAGTAAATTGGGACCCTGTCTTGAGCAGCCTATAGGGCACAGTTTCAGGGTGGTACAAAAATCTTCAAATATTATACATAACCACTTGCATTACATTTGTTATTGCAACTTATTCATCATCATAAAAAAAAGAACATTCTTTATGTTTGAGTTTAAAAATTGCAACTAGCTCTAGATTTAATTGTTTCGTTCAGCACTGGGATGCAATAGATAAATATGGATGGCCACATGCTCTGTTGTGCTGTGATAACGCACATTAGTCTCCATTCCAAGAAGTTGTTTTATCCACCTACTATTGTCTAAACCCTTGTGAGCAAAAGTTTAAAAAAAGTGTATAAACTGCATAGTATATTTTTGCTAGTAATCAAACAACAGATTCATTCATGTCCCTATAATTTCATGTTCTTTTGTTATTTTTGGCATGTACCTAGCTTACTTAAGGCCTGATTTATATTTCAATAATGTACTTATTGAAATATAAATCAGTAGCGAGTCAGTAGCGAGTTAAATTGCTACATTGGTGAGTTAAGTTGTTTCAATGGCAAATGCGAGTTATGTAGTAGGTTATTGATTAAGTGGAGCTCAATAGGTCATTCTCCTATTTTTTGATGAGTCCAGTGTCAAGTAGCTATCGAGTCCTCGGGACCCCATCAACTTAAGTCGCCGGAATGTTTTGATGAATGATATGAATAATAACACATTTACATTTGCACAAGAATAATTGAAACATGAGTGTTTATATGGGTAATTTAAAATATGTTTACTATCGCATTTTTTTATATTCGTAGCGCTAGTCTTTTCTCGGAATGACGTCTTAACTTGCCTTAAGAAATAAGTCAGTTAATTAACTGACTTATTTCTTAAGTGACTCCTGTACTTACTGAAGTGTAAATCGGGCTAGATTTACCCGCCACTGAGTAAATAATTCATATAAATTAACATGAGATTTGAAGACCTAATCTATTTGTGATCAAATGAAAATTCAAAAATTGAAAATTTTGTTAAAATCATATATGTAAAGATTATCTGTAAATCAGAATAGACATTCAGGTGTTATGTTAATTCGCAGAAGTAGTAGGCGTCTTTTGTCATCACTGCTTGGGCTCAGGCCATCCTTATGGATGGAAACGAATCAAATCGACCGGGGACAATGGGTCATGACCCACCACGCGGCCCTAGTGTGTATTAGTGGGTGTTAACGATTGCAGACGCAATTGGGATTGACGGCTTAACATTCCGAAGCCCGGAAGAGCTCGAGATAATAAAATTTTGGTAACCCTTCCTATGATTGGCCCTTGTGAAAGTTTAACAAACGTATCGTATACCAAGCGCGCTAATCGCCAAGCTCTTATGTCATCGTGGCCATATCGTAGAATTGAGTATTTCATGATCCGGCCCGCCATTCCATGAAATGGTTATATTTCATTAGACGACCACCTAAAATCGATCATATCGTTTGGTCATATCATTAATGGAGGGTGTCCAAAAACGAAATGTAATTATTTGCTGAAATAGCTTATTTAAATGTTAGCGTTATAATTTTGTGGTCTAAACAATACTTTATATACTCAAATTTAATACTTAAATTTATAATCTATCACGTGACCTTCAGTAGTGAATATAGGAAATTCAATTCAGTTCCTATCTTAAAAACTTTTATATCCTCCAATATAATTTATCGTCTTCTGGAGCTAGATCAAAATCCTGTCTTTATCATAATTTTGCGACATATCCATAAAACTATAGAATAGCCTTTGCCGCCGCACCTTCGTTCCTACAATTATCTCACTAAACTTAATCTACTAATTGTTTGCCATTGCTTGGTCATTCTACTTTCTTTAATTTATTGTATCAGCTCAAAATGAAAATACATCATGTATCACAAAAACGTGACATCAGCGCCTCTCACCGAGATTAATGAAACTATTTTACGATATGATCACTAATGCTTGACCACATCAGGAAGCAGTCATTCGACCAGCTGCCCATATCGTTAAACGCAAATTATGCATTGATTTGGCCAGGCCTCATCATGATGTGGACAGCAAGTTTTACCATTTCATTAAATGGTCGGTCGCATCATGAATCGGTCAATTCTAAAATCTGGCCACGATATATATATAAGAAAATATTACAGCTGATTTCGGTCTGGCTCGATGGCTTGGCGCGCCGGCCCGTAGCGCCACGCCACGTGTCGTAACTCTCTGGTACCGAGCGCCCGAGCTATTGTTGCAAGCGCCGCGACAGACGCCCGCGCTAGACATGTGGGCCGCTGGATGTATACTGGGCGAATTACTCGCCAATAAGCCTCTACTGCCTGGTAGGACAGAGATTGAACAGCTGGAGCTCATTGTTGATTTGTTAGGTAAGAGTATTGTGTATTCAAATTTACATACAAACTGTTGTAGAAGATAACTAGTTTTATCACTCCAACCCAGATCGAACTGGGGTCATCCACAATGGACCGTTTACGCCAGTCCATTAAAATTGGAAATATTTTTATTTCATTGGACTGACTTGAATTAGAGATGGAATCCTGTATTTACACAAGGCCAATATTGACCTAAATTACTGAACTGTCGGCTACTGGCCTCATGTAAATGGTCAGTAAAGTGAATTTGTGCTTTAAATAATGTATGATGAAAAGAAACACTGATCTAAGTAAGTAAATTTTGATTGACGCGGACGAAGTCGCGGGCACGGCTAGTCTATTAAAAAGTCTTTGAGTAAAACGATTTTATTTATCAGGTACGCCGTCAGATGCGATCTGGCCAGAGTTCAGTTCTCTACCCGCACTTCAGAATTTCACCTTGAAGCAGCAGCCTTATAACAACTTGAAGCAGAGATTCCCCTGGCTATCAGCGGCTGGACTTCGTCTGCTGAATTTCCTGTTCATGTACGATCCTAATAAGCGAGCTACTGCTGAAGAGTGTCTGCAGAGTTCATACTTCAAAGAGCAACCATTACGTGAGTTGAAATAAAGATTAATTCTAGGGATCACGCCTACGGATTTTTTAAACTGGGGCCGAAAATTTCTATGGCGCCCTTTCTTTAACCCCCGTACACTCCATTAAGCCGGATTTTATATTTGATTTTGAAGTCCCCTTAATAACACTTGCCCTCCGCTAGATCAGGGCCTGCACCGGATTGAAGCAATTAAAAATATGAATTTGAATGAATACGAAGCAGTTTATTAGCTTGTCACCAAATTCCACAGTTGATTTTCATTCAAATAGTTTTACGATAATGATTCTTCGTTCGTTTCTTATATAATTAAAAAAGCGTGCAATTTAATTAAAAAGAGTTTGTTTTATTTCAGCGTGTGACCCAAAGCTCATGCCGAGCTTCCCTCAGCATCGTAACATGAAAGGTCAGCAGAAGAATTCTTCAAACCAGCTAAATATTCCATTGTCCAATTTGAACACTGGTGCCAACGACCAAACCAACAATTTGCCCGCCATCTCTGATCTCCTAGGTTCATTAGTCAAGAAGCGAAGACTAGACTAATATTTATGTGTGATTTAATTTTAATTCTATAATAAAGGACATACAAACAAATATAAAAATTTGACACAAATTACATTGTTTTATTGTACATTTGTATTTGAAAAGTGCAGATACGGAATCTTTTCTTATGTTACTATTTTTTTTAAATATTAAGCTTAATCTGTCGATGCTTCTTCGTCGCCCGATAGTCCCATTGCTTGTCTGAATTTTTGATGTTTCTGAAGCGTTATTGCATCATTACTCTTGGTTTTGATTTTCTCCTTCTGTAAAAATGCAGGTGATAAATCATGATAAATAGGGATGAAGACCACTTTTTGTATGTTTGTCCGTGAGACAGATTGTTGAAAAATATTAAAGAGTTATATTTTTTAATAATTGAATTGTAGCGATACATTGAATTAAAATGTAACATGATGCCACGTTTTTGTACATTTTCTACAATACTGTGAAGTAGCGAGTCTCCTCAATTTTAATGTCTATTAAGCTATTTCTTGTTAAATTGATGTAAAAAAATACGTATCAAATATTTTTCTATTATCTGACTGACGGACTACATAGAATTTCTTTTTTTTACTCAGTCGTCATCCCAATTACGTAAGAGTACAGTCGTTAAACATACCTGCAAAACCATACAATAGCGCAATTTTTAAAGCAATAAGGAAGTATTATAAAAAAAGCATTTGTTCCTTGAATTAAACTAGATGTCGCTACGGTACTTTCTTGATTTCTCTATAACAACCCTTCCGGTTTTCTTTCGTGTATGAAACTCATGTTCTATTTGTACTTTTTCGTATTTGTATTGAAATCTAAGTTTTGAACTTTGCAAATTTCAGTTTTTTAATATGTTAGTTAAAAGGAACGGAAATTACTATTTTTGGTCCATTTGTTTCCTGCAAAAGTCAACTTTTGGTAGAGTCGCCATCCAGTGAGGTGCTTTTTAGTGCTTTTTTTTGAAATACTTCCTCATTGGCTTCTTGAAAGTTATTCAGACAATTCCATGTTTTAGATTTCAGAAACGGCAACATGATAGCTGCATTAGGGCGCTTGTGCACTACACTGATTTTTTCAGGTCCGGCAGTCCGTTTTTTTCCGGTCCGGAATGACATGAAAAACCCGGATGAGAAGCTTGTGCACTAGTCCGTTTTTTTCCTGATCTGGGCGGCGCAGTTAGGGCAGCTCTCTTTGAAGCTACACGTCACTTACGCTAGGTACGATGAGATTATTGGAACGTCGGTAATTGCGTTCGAAGACGTAGAAAGGTACCTAAATAATTACCTGATCATTTTACATAAACCATAAGTTTATTCTTTATTATTACTTCTTATCAAATATTTATCTATACTTATCAATTGTCTAAAAGAATTTAAATAATGACAAATTTCCAGGCAAACTTTCATCCCCTATTTTTCGCGATTAAATGTACTTAGCCTATGTCCTTTCTTAAAGTTAAGTCTATTTCCATTAAGATGGATTAAGATCTTACCTTAAGTTATCGATAATTTTAATACGATTCTAAGATCTAGCTAAGTATCGATACTAGAACCATACGCTGATCAAATTAGAACTATACAGAGTTTGTCAAAGCATATGCAGTGATATTTACCAACTATATTATTCAGGATTAAATCATCATATAAAATATAGCATTTTATAATCTACAATAAATATCGATTATAAGTTTATTGGAAATTAACAATATCGCCGAATTAAATATCGATTATTTTGTCCCAAGCCTTCCTTATGAATTTTCCGGATCGCAGACACTGCAGTGCACAAGCGTAAACACGTTTTTCATTGTCGCCATCACGGATCTGAAAAAACCGGCCCGGAATAGAGTAAAGTAAGATCCCGGACGGTAAAATTCCTGACAGTGCACAGGCTAGCATTACCTATAAATGGCCTGACATATCGGACCGGAAAAAATCGGACCGTCGGACCTGAAAATTCAGTGTAGTGCACAAGCGCCCTTACTGATTTCATTGTTTCAAAGAAGTATCAGTATATTAGATAAGCTATTACTGAAAAAGTACTCGCTAAAGAGTTGTGCCGATACAACACATTGTTTGTCGATTGTATTACCGTGGCTTACTCCTAAGCGAGATGGCAACGAGCTCGTATTGTGTCACAATTTTAGTTCAGATTAACTAGTCTAGTTATATTCATAGAAATTTTTATATTGTGCTATAATCGTTTAAAATTGGGAATAACTCACGATCTCTTTCTCTTGTTTCTCTATAGTTTTCAGGGCGCGAATACATTGTGAACATAGGACGACATCTTCCATATGATTGATCGTCTTTTTCTTATGATGATGTTTTAATCTAGAAGCGAATTTTAGATATAAGTTGTTTATCTACAATTAGCATAGGAGTAGGTTTACTTATTATCTGTATAATTAGTACAGATATACTTAAATTGCAATTTTAGCGTAAATTCAGTCTGACGCTTAACCTTGTTTATTATTAGCACTGTTATACATTATTGTCATCCAGCAAGTATCATGCACGAATGAGAACCTATCGGAACCGGAAGTTGAACACATAATATATGTTTCCAACGCCAAAGTGTTGCCACGCAAGCGCAATACACCACTATTATTATAAGTTCTTTGCGAGTACTACATTTACTTACAATTTTCCACAATAATCACACTGTAGTTTATCAGTGCGATGTGTGATGACATGCCAGCCGAGTTCACGATATGTCGGGTACCGTTCGGAACATCGAGGGCAAACAATCTTGCCTTCCGATCGCCCACCATTACTTTGATGCTCTATCAGTTCTTGAGATGTTTGGAAGTTTTGATGACAACTCGTACACCTATAGATATATATCAGTTGTCAAACTGTCCATAAATGTTGGCGTTCGTAAACAGGATACATAATTTTGTGAAACTGAAAGCTTAATTACACGTGGTTCGGTATCCTGTAATTGTTAATTGTTTGTTGGGAAATAATATGTGCTTTTATTTTGCTTTTTTGTTAGGAGAGCAATAATATATTTAAGAATATATCAAAGAAATTCTTCATTTTATACCAAAAACGTCACAAGAGTAGATCACAATAAATCTATACTTTCAAGCTTTCTGTGATTAACGTAACAGTATTCAATCCTTTCAAGAACACAAACAAACTGCATTTAAAAAGCCTTCACATAGTTCCGTTGCTGCCCTAATTATACTATAATTATTTAGGTATGTGTGAAATAAAATCGCACTGTTCGCAGAGTAAGGGAGTTAATAATTGAAGACATGAGTGGATGAAGGTGATATGTCACAAAATTCTAATTTCGAGAAAATGGAGTTCAAAGTTATGCATGAACATTTTAGGATATTTCAAAATGCTTTAAGATTTTTCATCTAATAAAGGAGTCTGGCGGTGCCAACTGTTTCATATTTTAATATTAGGAGGGAAATTAAAGAATATAAAATGTATTTTAGTACTTTATTTAAAAAAAACTGAACATAACTCCTTCTTCCGCAAAGAAAATTTTAATAAATTCGAGAAAATTAAGTCTAAAGGAGACAAGTTACATAAATACTTAGAAAAAAAACAAAAAACGATTATTCTTCTCGAAGAATGGACTCATAATAATACCGATATTCCGGTTTAACAAATTTTAATTGATCCTTAATATTAGCTTTTTTTTCAATCGAGACAGTACCATATTTTCCATCCACGCGTGACACCTCAAAATTCGGATCAACTTGGCCTCTTTTTTTAAAAATGTCAACCTTCTGGAACGGTATCATTTCGTCGTATGATTCTTTGTATAAATATGAACCGTATTCATCAACTCCGATCCATTTCACGCCATCTCTAAAGCTAATTTTACCATTATTTGTATTTTTTTTCCTGTTAATCAGATTTAAATTCTCTTGCAAATCGTTTATTTTTCTGAAATCAATAACAATATTGTTTCGTGAAGCTTTGGTAATAATGCTTCGATATTGTTCAGGTGCATAGATTGTATCATTTTTCCGAAGCACTTTTTCGATCCTCCCAAAATCTCGGTCCGAATCCAAATACGAATGTCCCACTTCGGGAAATTTGTGGTCTATGATTTTAAAATATCCTTTTAAGATTATGTATTGGTAAAGACATATTAAATTAAAATTTTTGTTCTGTCCGGCACATGAATCTGACCAAATAATCAAATGATCTTTGCCTTGGCAACTTGCATCTACCTCCACGAACCTCAAGAGTGCACTTGCCACTTCGGAACTTCCACGGTCCGCTACATCTTCAGCCCATGTACAACATACAGCCTTTTCTTTAGATGTTCCATCTATGACGTGAATACCTAAATTATAGAACCAGATTTGTCTTAGATAGAATGCCTTGGATGTAGTCAATTTAGGCAAAGGCATTGTTTGCTGTAGATCTACTGTAATGTAGAGGACATCCTCACCTGATGTAGGTTTTTTTCGATCGACTTGCATTGCTTCTACAGCTGCATAGTAGTTGGCTTTATGTTCTTCATTTGAGTCCCCAGCATCGCAAGTTGCACAAGTATCACTCTTTGGGTAACCAAAAGATAAATTAAATTCTGTAACAAAAATTTTGCTGTAGGTAGACTTTTTAATGTTGTATTTCTCAGGTAAAATTTCTTTATCACACATTTCCAGATATAGGCTATGCATCTTGGTCACATTTAAAAGAGGGGAAAGATATAACTTGTGCATATTTTTACTACGAGAGTAATGGGACTGTTTGGCGGGAAAGCTCGATATATGTGCTTTAATACGGTTCACAACGTCTTCATCCATTTTGTGAGGACGACTCTGGTGCTTCCCTCTACAGTCCGGTTTTGGAGCAGAAATACCGCTTTTAATAGCCATTATTACTAGATCTACTTTTTTCCGACTTATTTGGTATAACCGACACAATCCCATCTTGCAAACTTGCTTTGTAACCCCTGCAAATTTAACAAAATACTTGTACGACGCCGATTTATGGGTTTTGGCATTACAGCGTTGTCTTTCAACAGGCTTACTTACAATGCTGTTAAAAAGTAAAGCATTCTTGCTATTCACATCTAAGGAGTAATAACTTTCTAAAATAGACTGCCTTTCATCTATTGCAAAATGAGTGGAGCACTGAAGCCTACATTTTTCGTGACACAAAATTCCTTCTTGTATAGATTTTTTTGGAATGACTTTATTTTTATACGATATATACTCTTCTCCTTTCTCTCTTGCAAGGGCTGCAGCTTTTTTCTTCCAAGTCCTTTCATTTCTAGATCGCTTTTTTGATTTGTTGTCTCTAGGCGGAAATATTTTTCGTTTTCTAGGTATATCACGTTCTTGAGATTCTCCATTTTCCTGGTTCTCACTGGTAGATGGAGCAATGTCAAAGTCATGTTCATTAGCACTCTCAGCATTTTCTTGTGATGTAACAGAATTTTCCTGAATTCTACTGGTAGGTGGATGAGCAACTACGAGGTCTTTTGCAGAAACTCTGACATCGATCTCACTAGAGCTTTGAGAAGTGGACGAGTTTGTTGAACTTTCCGGTATGAAGACATCATCACTTCCCGAAGAAAAATCTTCATAATTTTCTTCAGAAAAAGTTGCATTCTCAAGAATAGTGTAGATTTTTTTATTTTGCAAAGGAAGTTTGTATGTATTAATTTGCTCAAATTGTGAATCTTCTATTATATCTGGATCTATGACTGGATGTATTCCCCTGGATGTATGTGGTTCATTATTTCTGGAACTTATATAATCATGATTGACAGAAAGTTGAAAAATCGAGGGTTCAAGGTCTTGTTCATGCTCAATGCTTTCACACTCTTGCTGAGACACTAACTCCGTGTTGCATTTATCTAGAAGCAAAAACGTGCCCATAAGCAAAGAAAAAAGTATGCATGCAAAACAAAAAAAAAATGTGCAGAAAGAATATTTGACAAATAAATATTTTATTCATCTGTCTTTACATTCAGTGCAAAAGTACATAACAAAGACAAGCTCATGCCAAACCACCCTTCACACAAAGCCTTTTGTAAAAATCTTGCGTCCATTACAACATCACACATATTAATTTTATACCTATGCACATATGATTAATTTTATAACATTCACAAACAAACATTCAAGAACATAACGCACAAAAATTAAATAATATAATATAATAATATATACGTAAATATAATAAATTTTAAATAAATATCAACTTTACGAGATAATATTATTGTGACAAGTCAAGAAATAATACAAATTTAAAAAATAAAGTTTAAAAAGACTCACCTTGATGATCATTTTTTTAGGTTATCATTTTCGTAAACAATCTTCACAGCCGATTCATCCAAATTACGGCTAATAGCAGCTTCCACTAATTGCTTTACTCTTAATTTAGCTCCTGCCATTGTTTTTGTGACTTATTTATGTCAATTTAACAACACAATAATTAATCTATAACGACAACAATGGTGGCACACGCGTCTGATTGTCAAAAGAGCGCGAATTCGCGAATGAACGGAACGGAATGGTGAGGCCGGTTTATGAATGAAAGTGACATGTGCAGCACATAACACCTTCATCCACTGAATGTGCTACCATGTCAACATAGCTCCTTCATCCATTGTAGAAAAGTAAACTTTTAACTTTTTTGGCTTTTATAAAAATGTTAAGTGCACATAGTACATTCATCCAATATTAATACAAAAAAATTGTGTACATGACACCTTCATCAAGTAGTGAACTTCTAAAATAGCCAGAAACACGGTTGTTTTAAGGTTTAAAATTGTTTGTATGCACATAACACCATCATTCATCCATAGAACAGCGAAAATCCAAAAATGCGACATATCACCTTCACCCACTCATGTCTTCAATTGTGACTGCATTGTCATCATATTTTAGGGTTTCGTAAGGAAAAGGGAAGCCTTTTAGGCTCATTTAGTTGTCTATCCGTGTCACCAACCTTTTATTTAAGAACATAGGAATACGCAGAGGTATCTATCGAATTCGGTTGGGGCGCTTTCAGGGACATATATCTATGAAGAATAATGTATTTGATATGATACTAAAATTTGGATGTACACCAAGATCATACACAAATTACAAACCGCACAAAGACCTATGGCTATGATGATTCCGTGATTAAATATAGGTACTTCATATTTAATCACGGAGGAAAACACAACTGACTATTATAGAAGTAGTAGTCAAAAAAAGAGTAAGTGGGCACCTGCCCACCTTTAATTAGATCATCTGTTCTTTTTCTATTCAATTATAACTCACCAACTTCCCTTAAAGCAGAATTATGATCTCATAATTAAAGCGGGTGGGACAAACTGATTGGAGCGAGCAAGTAACCGCTGAGAGTGCAAGACCATGAAAGAGATCTACACTACACTAAAAATTGGATGACTTCGTGTTAAAGTAAAATAATATACGAGTAAATCTTTTCTTCTTTGTCAATCCGAAACTGAAATATCATCCTCGGTAATCGACTCTCTCTCTCGTACTTGATCGGTTATATTAACTATTAACAAAATCTTACATGAATATGTTTGGTTGAAGATGATAGGCCATATGTTCGATAATTTTTTTCGGATAGAAATAATGGAACTTCTTGTCGCAGCATGTAACGTAACCGGGCACACCATGGCGGTCTTTGTAATGTTTCATCAGCGATCTGAAATGAAAACCTTGTTCGTGGCAAATGCAACATTCCATTTTGTAAAACAGTGTGATCTGGTTGTCTAAAGCAGCGCCTTGTCGTGCTGGTCTACCATCAATCAGAACTATAGGATCTAAGCTCTCTGTTATTTCTGCAGACATCGGCTTGCTTTCCTTTTTACTTGCATCCTTTTTCTCTTCTTTTTGACGTGGAGATTTATTAATCATCGATGAACTGTTTAATAAGGTTTTATCTAATTTTTCTGCAATAGCGAATTCTTCCAAAGGCATCGATTCTAAAAATTTCATATCAGACGGGGATTTTTTCTTTGGTATTTTATTTTTATTTGTTTTCCCGTCACCTTGTTGATGTTCAGAAGGAGGTGATTTGGGATTAGGTGAGTGCTGTTGGTTATTAGGATCAGATATATTTTGAGATGATATCGATGGTGCTATTGTATTAGGTCGTTTGATGCCAGCTGTGATTTGTTCCCTTTTCTCTTCAATGGTTTTCATTTTGTGGAAGTCCAGAAATTTTTGAGTTTTCTCTACTTTTACAGCATATAGGTGCATCGCAGCTACCTGTTGCAAACAATCGTGGCATATTGCTTTTGGAAGTGTGTCATCGTTGCGCACCTGTTGATATAAAAGTTTGCTTATAGTTTAAAACAAATAAAAAAATGTTATATTACATGTTATAACATGCTACGTTTGTGGAGGTTAAGCAAATTATTAGACGCCGGGCATCAGATGGGTGATAAAAATCTAATAAAACTCTGCCGAGTGATTTAGCCATGGGTTTCGGCAGAATATGCAGTTGTCAACACCCCCATTGACATTGGTTCGGTTGGTGGGTACTCGATGTGTAAGACCTGAATTGAAACAGTGTTCATAGTTTGATAATGATGATGAAGATGCATTTACAATTGATAATCCAATAAAATCAAAACAATTATTTTTTTATGGAAAGTCTATAGTTTGATTTACGCAGATATTTGTTTATTATTTGTTCCGTTCGATATCCGGAATCCATCTAGAGTCAAGCATCATCCTTTTTGTGACGTTTCCGGTCCAAAACACTACCTCCCTTCTTACTTCCGGCGCCTGTGCTGCCATCTAGTTTGCGGGTAGCGAACCAATGACTTTTAGGCACGAACGCTTACCGTCATTATAGCGTCGTTTTTCGTGGCGAAAACATCGGTCCTACATAAAATGTGCACAAATTATACTTATTATTATATAGTTTAGTGTTAAAATTAAAATGAAATGAATATAAAATTAACCTCCCTTCGCGATGGAGTAACGGGATAGCGAAATAAACAAAGAAAACAGCATTGAAGCAGGCGTGTTTATTGTCTTCGAGCTCATCGAACAGTGTCGTTGGATTCCAGCTCGGAGAGAGCAAGTAAGGTATAGAGGCGAGAAAAACTGTAAGTGATTTGCATTCGATTTGTTACCCCAACCAGTGACATTTTTTGATAATGCATGAAAACTAAATCCACCTGTGCATTTTTCCATAACAAAATAGCACAAAGTATCCATACCAGGACCGCAATTATGGCAACCACAGCCACCATCACGTTCCCTACGACCCCACGGTCCTGAACAGTTCCTACTTGCAGCGGTTAAGACTGGTGATAATTTTCTTTATGTACCTACTATAGTAAAACAATCAACACAAGTTCAAATAGGATTTTTTTTTTTTTTTCATAATAACGTTAAAGACCCAGTCTATGGTGAAACCAAATTAGATGAAACATGCTCAAATTAAATTATAAGTTGAGGCGATTTGTTTCTGCTACAACAATTTGATGATTTAAGATAAGATCTTTATTTGCGAGAATAGAAGTCATAATAGTTATATTTTATAGAAATGGTACAATCTACAGCATTAACAAATACCTTAACAGAATTAAAGTATGAGTCAATTAGTTTAGAACTAGTTTACAACAAATTGTAGATTGATCTATTGCTAAAGAGCTTTTTGATAAAATCTAATCAACATTCAACAAGGATTATATTTTCCAAATATTAAGTGGCAGACGCACTGATGTGTTCAGAGCCGTGGCGAAGTTTTCTGAGGTGCCTTTACAGAAATTTTTGCCAAATTCAGAGTTCAAAGTCAAAGTCAAAATAATATTTATTCAAATAGACTTCTCTTTTGAATCGTCCAACATTTTTCCCCACCACTCGTTCAGGACGTCTTTTGGCTGATAGGAAGAACGAACAAGTTTTTCTTTGATAATAGTATATTGCACCCAAAAAACAAGAGGGTGCATAAAATGGTTGCAACTGCAAGTTGATTCAAGGTAGATTACCAGAAGTACACACCAATATTTAAATGGTAATGAGACTAGTTCATTAAACTTTAGAAATAAATACAATGCATGACATGACACAATGGAGGGGGCTATCTAATGCGATCTGTAAGTTTATGGAACAATCAGGATGTTCCAGATTGCATATGTCGAATCTTGAGCGAGTGGCTCACCAGTTCCAAGGTGTCACCATTTCTAAGCTCCCGCATTCCACTCTCGGTCATGTTAATGCAGATAATGAGCTTTTCTATATTATCTCTGGTCTGGGTGTTGTTACCTTCGTTGTTTCAGATTACCATAATACAAGTGTTTAACTATATCATTTGGTATCTAAACTATGTAGGTATGTGATGGTATAAAAATTATATTTTTATGCGTGGGATTTTAAGCCATCTTCAAATATCGTTTGCAATGCTCAAATTAATATACTGGAGATTACAAAAAACACCCTGTTTTGTATCATTTCCTCTTCTAATGTTAAAGCCCGACAATTTCATTTAAAATGACACTGATTTGTCAAAATAAAACCTTTTCGACTGATCAATAATTTTCGTATTCCGAACATTCTCATACAAAACGAATGGTTTACGAAAATATATCCGAGCCAAAAGTATTTTCATTTGAGTATCGCCGAACAACATCTGGTTCACAGGTTCTTGAGACTGGCATACAACAACCTACCTAATGCAATTGACGTGTCTCTTTGGACTGCCATCGGTACTCAAAAACTTTGCTGCCTAGACCAACACAACAACTGCGCTACCACAATAGCAACGCTTAGGGTGGTCACTCAACTTCGAGCAGTGTGTGCTGGTTCTGAGCTTCCTCGGCGTTGCCTGGTGCATCGTGACCAACACGGTCGCGAGGTGCCGGGAAGTGCCGGGGAAGTCAGGGGTAAGTCCCTGTCGGAACCGAAGTGCCTTACGCTACGCATGGCACTTCAGCACGAGGCGACTACACGTGGCGGTTAGTCCCTCAGACAGGCCCAGTTCCTAATGGGGAGACTCGACTTTGCCTCGTTTGTGATTCGAAGAGGGTGATTACACTGTCGCACACAGCAATACTACCATCGACAGTTGCCCAAAGATCACCATTACCACCGAATCAAACTACCAGACTCAGTACAGAACATTCAGCGAAGTCACTGTTTCAATCGAACGCTTCACGCTACGCATGGCATTTCAGCATCAGATTGTACAAGGCGGTTAGTCCCTCAGACAGGCCTAGTTCCTAATGAGGAGACTCGACTTTGCCTCGTTTGTGATTCGAAGATGGTGACTACACTATCGCACACTGCAATACTACCATCGACAGTTGCCCAAAGATCACCATTACCACCGAATCAAACTACCAGAATCAGTACTGAACATTGAGTGAAGTCCCTGTTTGAACCGAACGCTTCACGCTACGCATGGCGCTTCAGCATCAGATTGTACAAAGCGGTTAGTCCCTCAGACAGGCCCAGTTCCTAATGGTGAGACTCGACTTTGCCTCGTTTGTGATTCGAACAGGGTGATAACACTGTCGCACACTGCAATACTAACATTGACAGCTTAAAACTATTACTACCTATTCGGATTACCAGACCCAGTACTGAATGACTTAAAATGGTAAGTAAATGTTGTATCATGATACCTTCCTATAAATGCAATGCAAATCGCTCAACATCCGAGGACAGGTGCATAGGAAATCTGTTCGAGTGCTCAACTCGAGGCAATTACTCACGCGAGTCTTCATTTCGCGGAATGCCTAGATGTAAATGCTAAGAGAACTGTACCGATTCCCGTACATAAACAAAGATGGGGAACCAAATCTAGGAAATTATTGTAATTATGACACGAACAAGGCAGATTCAGAAATTATGCATAGCCTGAATACTAAATTTAGCAGCCCAATGTACACCAGATGTGAACTTATTCCATCGACAAAAGCACACGTCATTCCCAGGTTCATGACAATGGATGTGACGGACGAGCAAGCTAATAGGTCATAACGCATGACGTCATCAGTGCAAATGCAACTGGCCTTATTCAAACATGATTCCGCAAATACGTTCTCGACTCCAGTAAGCGTCAAGGCAAGTAAGTACATTATGATTGTAAGTACATTATGAAAGTGTCTTGGCTGACGATTTGTTTCCGCAAATACTGCAATAGGTATGGCAACAGGTGTTCATCCCTCGAAATTCAGAAAATTTATTTAAAAATCGGACAGAATAAAATAAAGAAAATCTTGAAACTATCGATTTAATGTAAAGCGACTATAAATATCTACTAGTATTAATTCTGCAAATAACAAGTGCCCGGTAGGGAAATTCTGCTAATGTCGGCGTAATGGTGGAGGGTCAATAGCTCGACTACAACCCTTTATGACACATTCTTGTTACTAGATCATAAAATAATAAATATATCTGTCAATATTGAATTGTTAGGAAGACATTGCACTAATAATATTAGACTTCAGGTATATAGTACAATGGAAATTTTACGTAGATTGGCAGAATTGTATCTATTTAAGTTGCTGGAAATTTAGCATAATTTCACAATCTTCAAGTTCGCAGAATCCATTATTTAACCCTTTTAACCTTTGAAGTACAGGGACGAAAATGATTTTTTGTTTTATGGCCCCATTTTGTATTAAAAACAGATAATAGTAATTATGACAGCCTGGATAGAAATGATTAACTGACACAAATCATTCGATTGCATGTATTGGACACGCGATCAATTTTTGTATTGAAAGAGCCCCAAAAAGAAGTAATTTTCACGAGTTAACTACTCTGTTCTCAAAAATGCTAAATAGAAGCACATAATGTAGAAGATTCTTCAGGGTCTATTACATCTGAAGTTCCATCTCTAAATTGACTGGAACTATTTCCGATGGATAAATTACTGAAACTGTGAACTGGCGCCAAGAACATACTTTTAAGAAGTCGTATCGAAAACTGATATATCGGACAATCAAGAAAATTCCGATATCTATTTATTTACATTTTTATTATTCTTAATTAATGATATTGACCGATAACAGATAAGCCAATATTTATTTAGCTTAGATTACCGAAATACTTGAATAATTATTATAATTGCATTGTTATGTAACAGCATAATATATGTACTATGTGTGTAATAGCATAATATACTTATAATATGCATTATTTTTTCTCATCAGACTACATTTGACTTTTTATACCTGCAACACATTATAGCGTCACCAATGGCACTCACCAGGAGATAACAAACACATCACTCAAGATGGATTCCGGATATCGAACGGAACAAATAATAGAGAGTTTTAACTACCAATAAAACTTACCTATTATTTTTCCTAAAGATATCCGGAATCCAGGTAAGTTCTACCTGGTGCATCTAGAGTAGGTATAATGACGGTAAGCGTTCGTGCCTAAAAGTCATTGGTTCGCTACCCGCAAACTAGATGGCAGCACAGGCGCCGGAAGTAAGAAGGGAGGTAGTGTTTTGGACCGGAAACGTCACAAAAAGGATGATGCTTGACTCTAGATGGATTCCGGATATCTTTAGGAAAAATAATAGGTAAGTTTTATTGGTAGTTAAAACTCTCTATTTTAATTGAACAGTGTTTTGAATTTCTTCATTCTCTACTAGTTGAGATAAACATGAAGCAACTCGCCAATCCTGAGATACTATCTGCCTTAATGTTATTTGCTATTTAAACATTTGAATTAAAACATAGGACATAATAATATAAGGCAATGAGCTTTCATTAACAGAAGCATTGAAAGTAGCTTGGTAGATTGCTACCTTAGTAATAAAGCCACCTCTAGCGTCTGTTTCTAATTATATGTATTTCTAAGTTTTTTTACTGTATGGAATAAAGTATACGATTACTGCAAACAAGCATAGCTAATAGGTAAAAAATAAGACCAGGACAAAAAAAAGCACCGTCGTTTTATAAAATAAAAAGATTAATTAACGAGGAATTAGAGAGTACTATTTCTTACTGCAATATCAAATAGCCTCTTGATTTTTCTTTTCACTTCGTTACTAAGTGGTTTTAACTTCACGACGTCTGTACAAAGGCATAAACGACAAGACAATTCACGCACTATAGTTTTTTCTAAACTGGAAAAATCATTCATACTGATGATTTAATTACTTTTTGTGGTCATGCACATTTCAGATATGTTGTGCAGGAATAGTACCCACTGTTTAATAAAAAAATATTTATTTGATCATGACAAAATTGCTATTGTAAAATAATCTGTTGATTTTGGTAAAATAATGACAATGACGATTTGTTTTTCTTTCGTTATCGGCTGGCAGCCAGCTCAAAAAAGGACAAACAACTTATTTATTAAAAACTATCCACAGTACACCATAAATGGTGTTGAGACACAAAGTTCTCCTTGATTAGAGATTAGTAGAAAATTCTTAATTTTATTACAGTCAATGTTCCCCGTATCAAACGGTTAAGATATGATGAATTATATATTTACACAGAGTTTCAAACTCTTTGTAAATATATAATTCCGAATATATTTCCGTATCGCTTGTCATCATTGTATTCTTAATATGAAAATATTATATTATCTTAGACCTATATGTGTTAAGCTATTGGATTGTATGGCGAGTGATTTTTATCTTAGGATATTACATTTATAGTATCTTCACCGTCTGTTACGCTTAATTTTGCTGTAGATATTTAATACGGATATTTTTTTTGTAATACAAAACTAATACTTATTACAAAATAATAATATATTGGTTTGGAAACAAAAACTCAGAAATACACTAAAGAATAAATGTAATAAATACAGGGATGATTTTATTATATTTTATTTATATGTGATGGAAATTATTGTGGTGTGTATACTCACTATACTACACTCTACATTGAGTAACTTGTAGATATTGTTGCTAAATCCCGACAAGACAATGGACCAGTGCAGTTGCGATAGCGGTAATTTTTCGATAGTATCGTAATGAATGAAACTCATTGATAGCAATACTAAGTAGTTATATTTTGATATCGAGTATTAGTTGAATTATTGATACTTATTCCTATTGAAACTATTAACACGCATATAGAGATAATATTTGCTATTAATTATCAAAACTTCTTACTTACTTTAAAATTTAACAAAAAAATACTGTCGTTATTCAAAGTAAATTAATTTAGTAAGTTTGCGTGATCTTATTTAGAAATATCATGACACCTTTTTAGGTAAGTATCGATACTATAAATCAGAGGTTCTCAAACACATTTCTGAAAATGGAATTTTATGATAGCAATATGTGACTACAAAATAACGTTAAAACAATACCAAATTAAAATGTTATATCTAGGAAATATTGTTAAGAATCCACCAGCTTCAGATACTCCGAGATGGGTCTCGAACCCACGAGTATTCGCTATCCGAAATGGCGAAAGGCCGGTGGGTTTTTAAATATTTTTTCATTAAGAATATTTTCCAGGATAGCATTGCGAATGCAAAATTGATCAAATACAATAATTTTATACCTAGTTTTTAATTTAAACTGTGGTACAGTCAACAGCACTTCAGATAATACAGAACTGTCAAATTTCCCCACTTGATTTTAAACATTAACACATTGAGGGTAGAGGTCAAAATCTATTGCAGAAATTTTACTTACTGTGGTAGCTTATATTTTACTATATGGTAGTGATTCGAACTCGCTGGAGAAGCTATTGCATTTATCTGATGATATTTCCATAGAAACCCCGTGATCCCAAATGTAAGAAAATGCATACACTAACCTGGATAGGCAGGAATAGAAAGGATTCACCAACGACGGGGCAGCGTGCCGGCCGGCTAGCAAAACTCACAAACTGCACTACAAGTTTGGTAGTCACTTAGGTTATCATATCAGGCAGGAGTTTATGGAACACAAACAGTCAATAAACTTCTAGTATGCTTTCTTTTAGTATTTTTAG